GCTTGTTTGTTTTGTTGATTAGGTTCCACTTATAGGTGAGATCATATGGTATTTGTCTTTCACCACTAGGCATATTTCATTAGCATAATGCTCTCCAGTTCAATCCATGTTGTCACAAAGAGTAGGAGTTCCTTCTTTCTCTCTGCTGCATAGTATTCCATGGTGTAAATGCACCACAGGTTTTTGATCCATTCATTTACTGATGGGCACTTAGACTGCTTCCAGTACTGGCTATTGTAAATTGAGCTGCTATGAACATTGGGGTGCGTAGGATCTTTTGAATTGGTGTTTCGGGATTCTTAGGGTATAATCCCAGCAGTGGAATTGCTGGGTAAAAGGCAGTTCCATGTTTTGTTTTTTTGAGGAAATGCCATATTTTTCTCCACAGTGGTTGCACCAGTCTGCATTCCCACCAACAGTGTGTTAGGATTACCTTTTCCCCACAACCTCACCAGCACTTCTTGTTTGTTGATTCGTTTATGATGGCCATTTGGACTGGTGTGAAGTGGTATTTCATTGTGGTTTGAATTTGCATCTCTCTGATAGCTAGTGATGCTGAGCACTAGTGAGTTTCATATGTCTCTGGGCCCTGTGTATGTCCTCCTTGGAGAAGTGTCTGTTCAGGTCCTTTGCCCGTTTTTTAATTGGATTGTTTGTCTTCCTGGAGTGGAGTCGTGTGAGTTCTTTACAAATTGTGGAGAACAAACCCTTGTCCGAGGTATCGTTGGTAGATACATTTTCCCATACGGTTGGTTTTCTTTTCATTTTGCTGATGTTTTCTTTGCTGTGCAGAAGCTTTTTAATTGGATGGAGCCCATTCGTTTATTCTTTCCTTTATGTTCCTTTGCTCTAGGGGACATTTCGGTGAAAATATTGCTGCACGGAATATCTGATTTTCCTGCCTATGCCTTCCTCTAGGACATTTATGGTGTCGTGACTTATATTTAAGCCTTTCATCCATCTTGAGTTTATTTTTGTGTATGGTGTAAGTTGGTGGTCGAGTTTTGTTTTTTTGCATGTAGTGTCCAGAGAATTTCAAAGCACTGTGGCCAGAGAATAACCTTCATAAGTTCTCAATTTTCTTGAATTTCTTAAAGCTAGTTTTGCGGTCCAACATATGGTCTGTTGTTGAGAATTTTCCATGTGCACTGTGGAAGAATGTGTAATCTGATGTTCTGAGGTGAATGGCTTTCTAAATGTCAATTTTGTTTATTTGACCTAATGCGTCATTTAAGGCCGATATATATATTTTTTAATTTTCTGTTTGGACGATGTGTCTAGAGAAGTCAATAGAGGACAGTGGTCCCCTACTATGACTGGGTTTTTGTCAGTTTCTCCCTGTAGTTTTATTTAGTAGTAGATTTATGTATTTTGGTGCTTCCTTGTTGGGTGCATATATATTAAAAACAGCTATGTCATCTTGATGTAGTATCCTCATTATTTTTATAAAATGTTTATCTTCGAATCTTGTTACTTATCTTGAAATCTATTTGCTCAGATGTAAGTATGGCTACACTTGATTTTCTGTGGATGTTATTTTTTTGGAGGATGAGTCTCTATACTTTCACTTTAAATTTGTCTTTGTCTTTGCACCTTACATGTGTCCCCTGAAGGCACCACAAAAAACAAACACCTTACATTTGTTTGTTTTTTGAAGTTTCGATCTCTTTGCTGAAGCACTCCTTTAACTCATAGTTTTGCGGGGGGTTTTTTGAAGACTTTATTCATTTTAGAGAGGGGGAAGAGAAGAAGCAAAAGAGGGAGAGAAACATTGATGTGTGAGAGACACATCAATCGGTTGTCTCTCTTGACACCCTGACTGGGGTCCGAACCCTCAACCCGAGCATGTGCCCTGAGAAGGAATCGGACCAGCGACCTTTTGATTTACGGGACGACGCCCAACTGAATCACACCAGTAAGGGCTGGGTTTTGTTTTATGATCCAGCCTGTTACCCTGTGACTCCTTTTTGGTGAGTTCAGTCCATTTACATTTATGATGTGTGAGGATTTCCTATAAGTCATTTTATCTTTTGTTATATTGTAGCTAGCTCTCTGCTCTATTGGTTCTTTCTCTTTGTGTTTTTGTCTGCTGTATTTGTTTGATGGTTTTCCTAACTTCCATCCTCTGTTTCCTCTTTTTATATGCTGTGTGTCTCGTTTTGTTCTGTTCTTTTGTCTGTGGTTGTCATTGGATTGATGAAAAATTGAGCTTCATATATATGCTGGTTTTCTTGAATGAATCTTAACTTCATCCCTTTTTGCTAATTCAGACATTTCCTCCTTTCCCTTTTATGTTTTTGTTGTCACAAACTATCCCTTTTGGTGCTCTAAGTTTGTGGGCCATCTTGCTCATAGATTTGTGACCTTTTGTTCTTTTTTCCAGGTAGAATAACCCTTTTGAGTATTTCCTGTAATGGAGGTCACTTGGTAATGAATTCCCTCAGCTTCTGTATGTCTGGAAAGTGGCTTTATTTCTCCTTCATGTTTAAAGGATAACTTTGCTGGATATATTATTCTTGGCTGTTAACTTCTCTCTTTCAGTCATTTGACTATTTGGTTCCACTCTCTTCTGGCTTGTAGCGTTTCTGCTGAGAAGTCTGATGATATTCGATGGGCTTTCCTTTGTAGGTTACTTTCTTCTTTTCCCTGGCTGTCTTGAGAGTCCTATCTTTGTCACTAATTTTTGATAGTTTTAATACAATGTGTTTTGGAGGAGGCGTCTTTGGACTCTGGTAACTAGGTGTTCTGTTTGCTTCTTGGGTTCAAGGATCTAGTTCTTCCCACAGGTTTGGGAAGTTCTCATCTACTGTTTGAATAGGCTCTCGGTTCCCTTCTCCCTCTCGTCTTTTTCTCATATGCCTATTATATTGCTTTTACTGGTAAAATAAGATGGTTCTCGTAGAGTTCTTTCTTTTTTTATGCTCAGATATTTCTAGATGTCTATCTTTGATGTCACTGATTCTTTTATCCTTTAGGCTTGCTCTGTATCCTGTGCTCACGAGTTCAATGTTGATCTCTTTTATTGAATTCTCTATCTCCACTATTTTTGTTGGTTGTTTTTTGAAGTTTCGATCTCTTTGCTGAAGCACTCCTTTAGCTCGTTTTTTTTCCGAGCTCGTGAAATTGCCTATCTGTATTTTTTTTGTTTTTTGTTTTTTGTTTTTTTGCATTTCCTTGAGTACTTTCAGAACTCCAATCTTGAATTCTCCTTCAATTATGTCACATATTTCTGTGTCTTTAAGTATGTTTTTGGGAGATTTTTTAAATATTCTTTCTGAGCTGCCTTGCTACCTTAGTTATTCATGGTATTTGATGGATTTCTTCTTTGTCTAAGCATCATCAGTGTGTGAAGGGAATTTCTCTAGCTGATTAATATGAAGAGATCTTTATTATATTTTCTGGTAAGTGGTACTGGACCATAAGTGTTTTTTCTTTCTCTTTCTTTCTTTCTTTCTTTCTTTCTTTCTTTCTTTCTTTCTTTCTTTCTTTCTTTCTTTCTCTTCTTCTTCTTCTTCTTCTTCTTCTTCTTCTTCTTCTTCTTCTTCTTCCTTCTCCTCCTCCTCCTCCTCCTCCTTCTTCTTCTTTCTTTTCTCCTTCTCCTTCTTTTTTTAGCTCTGTGAGATCCCAGGGTAGCCTTCCTGTCTCTGGCTGCCCTCAGTGTACCTGTGATGCATGAGGTTGGGAGAGGCTGGGGGAACCCGCTGGCTTGCTTGTTGTTTTGCTCTACTGGTAAAGAGTGACTTTAGTCCTCTGTGGGGTCCCCTCATGTCCCTGTTTTCAGGAGTAGTCACAGAATGCACTCTGCACTTAGGGAGAAATGCCATTCTGTCGTGCTAGTTCTAGGGCTTGCAGATAATGTTCTTTGTAACCCAACACCAAGGGCAAAGGGAGGCGTGCTCTGGGAGGCTCAGGGTAGGCTAAGTGGTGGTGGTCATGCTGGTGGCTTTGTTTCTCCATCTGAAATGCCCACCGCCCAACAACTCTTGCCCCACTCCTGTCCTGGGTCCTTGTCCAGGTCCCTCAGCTCAGCTCCAGCTCCTGAAGGAGTACCCACTGAGTCTCTTTGTTCCTGCTGTCTTAAGAGAGTGTGAGCCACCATCAGATTCCTCCCATCGAGTCCGGCCTTGAGCTCCTGGCTACAGGGCTGCATCTTTGGCTCCCGTCAGCTCCACTCCCTTTCCGCATCTCCCTTTCGCTCCACTTGCCCACCTTTAGGTGTTTCAGGGCACAGATCTCTCAGTCATGCTTGTCTGTTGAGCAGGGAATTCTTTGTTGAGTGAGGGCTCTTCAAATATTTGAAACTTCAATGGGAGAGACCAAGGGGATCTCTCACGATGCCATTCTTCTGATGTTACTTGGGGACACTCATTCTTGCCGACCTTTCTTTAAACAGAGTTATTGCCTAGAATACCAATTATGGTCTGTCATCTTATATAGTGGATTTTGCTAATTCTCTCAACTGCTCATTACTCTGTAGCTTGGTCTAGTCCAAAAGGCTTCAGACACTCAAGCGAGTCTCCCTTGCAGACTGAGGAACGTCAGCTCTATAGACCTTTATATATTAATTTCTGGGAGTTAGTATTAGAAGATATTTGCTTTTGAGAGCAAATTAGTGTTTTTCCATAATATACCACAATAAGAGTATCCTTAGAATGGATTTTGAGGAAGCAATTAGTTTAGGTTCTCTTGTGAATAATTTGAGTTGCATTTAATGCTGCTGTAATTGTTTGTTATTGCACTTGTTTAAAATTCTTATGTGCTAAAATAATAAACAGAAGATTGGATTTGAGTTTTGACATGTAAATGTCAACACTTAGATATAATTCTGTCACTAGGCAATTGCTCATGTTAGTATATTTGTAAAGTATTAGTATTTGGCTATAGCCCTATAAGAAAACATAAAATCATTTAGATATGATATATGAAATGATGAAATTTCTTTGCGGTAAGGGACCAAAATGGGTATTTCCTAAGTACCTTGCTAATTTTAATTGTTTTAGGTAAGTAAAGATCAAAGTCTTTCAGAAGCAGAGTTGCCAGCACCGGATAAAGCATCCACTTTAAGTGGCACACAAGCAGTGAAGCGTGTGCAAAATCTTGAAGAGCTGAAAGATCGCCTTGAAGACAGTGGCGAAAACTCCTCTAAAGTCATATTATATAAGCCCAAGTAAGTAAAATATGAGTTAATAGAATAAAAACATAAGTGGGTATGTAATTAGTAATGAATGGGAGGTAAATGGTTCAGAGATTACACTACACATAGAGCTTCTATATCAAATCAGAGGGTCTAGTCAGTTCCTATTTGAAAACTTTATTAGTCTGAAATGGCTCTGTTTAACACAGTAGACACTAGCCATAGTGTGTATTAAAATTAAAATTCAATTCAATTAAAAAAAACAATTTCTTAGTTACACTAGCTACATTTCAAGTGCTTTGCAGCTATGACTACTGCTAGAAAATTCTTTTGGACATTGCTCGCTTTGGAATATCTGACCTAAAATCTTTTTTTAGTATGATTGGGTGGCCTTCATAATAAGTAGGAAGCTACAGTATGATTAAACATTTTATTGTTCATGAACATCATTACTTAAAATTGCGTAGGGACAGGGATATGTTCCAAAGAATATATTTCTCCCTTTAGTTGAGAAGAGCCTTTCTTTTTTCCCAGTGGGTGGAAGATTCAAATGAATGATTACAGTGATACTCCCATTATCTGTTGATGCTCATTTTTGATATTTGAGGATTACCTGCCTTGAAATTAAGTAGATGAATAAATCATCATTATAGAATATCTTCCATGATTTCTTCCCTCTTCACAGAGTTAGTATTTGTGTGCGTGTGTATGTGTGCGTGTGTGTGCGTGTGTGTGTGTGTGTGGGTATGTGGGTGTGTGTGTGGTAAGAACACTTCAGATCCACTCTCTTAAAAAATTTCAAGTATAAAATACAGTAGTGTTATTAACTGTAAACACCATGATGTACAGAAGATCTCTGTAATGTATTCAACATATACCTGAGAGTTTGTACCATTTGACCAACATTTCCCCATTTCCCCAATCCCCCAGACCCTGGAAACCACCATTGTACTCTCTGGTTCTAAGAGTTTGGCTTTTTTAGATTTCACATATAAATGAGATGATGTGTCTTTCTCTGTATGGCTTTTTTCACTTAGCATAATGTCCTCCAGGTTCATCCATGTTTGAAAAATAACAGCATTTTTTTTTGTTTATGGCTGAGTAATATTCCTTTTGTATATATTTACCATGAGTTCTGTATCCATTTATCCATTCACTGTAAATTAAGTTGTTTCCATATCTTGGCAGTTATCAGCAATACCGCAGTAAGCAAGGGAGTGCAGATAGCTCTTTGAAGATACAGATTTCATTTTTTTTTTCTTTTTTTGATAACTAGTCAGAAGTGGGCTTGCTGGGTCATATGGTGATAGTTCTTTCTTAAATGTTTTTTTATTGAGGAACTTATTGTTACCGTTAAAGGCTCTAAAATTTACATTGTCAACAGCAGTGTAGAAGTGTTCCCTCTTTCCACATCCTCACCAACACTTATCTCTTGTTGCTTTAGTAATGGCCATCCTCACAGGTGTGAGATGACATCTCATTCTGGTTTTGATTTGTATTTCCCTGATGATTAGTGACGTTGAGCACCTTTTTATGTACCTGTTGGCCATTGGTGTGTCTTCTGTGGAAAATGTCTATTCATTGATCCATTTCTTTGCCCATTTTAAAAACTGGGTTATTTATCTTTTGCTTGTGATTTGTATGAGTTGCTTATATGTTTTAGATATAAATCCCTTATCAGGTACATGGTTTGCAGATATTTTCTCCCATTCTATAAGCTGTTTTATCATTTTGTTGATATTTCCTTCATTGTACAGAATCTTGTATATTTGATGTAATTTCATTTGTTTACCTTTGCTTTTGTTGATTGTAATTTTTGTGTAGCATCTAAAATATCAGTGCCAATACCAATTTCAAGGAGTTTTTTCCCTAGTTTTTTTCTAGGTGTATATTTATGTGTTCAAGTCTCACACCTAAGTCTTTATTTAGAGTTCATTTTCTTTGGTATGGAATAAAACGATGATCTAATTTTGTTCTTTTACACATAGATATCCTATTTTTTTTTCTGGCACCATTTATTGAAGAGACAGCCCTTCCTTTCTTATGTGTTCTTGGCATCCTTGTCAAAGATGAATTGATCACATGCATGAGGGCTCTCTCTTCTGTTCTCTTGGTCTATGTGCTTATTCTTATGCCAGCACCACAATGTACTGATTCATATAGTTTGAAATCAGGAAGTATGATTTCTCCAGCTTTGTTCTTACTGAAGATTTGATTGGCTATTCAGGCTTTTATCTGATCCCATGTGAATTTTAGTATTGTTTTTCTGTTTCTGTGAAAAGTGTCGTTGAAGTTTTGATAGGGATTGCATTGAATCTGTAGATCACTTGGGGTAGTATGGACATTTTAACAATGTTAATTATTTCATTCCATGGATATGGACTATCTTTTCATTTGGCCCTGTATTATTCTGTTATCTTTGAACATATCTGTTATAGTAACCTATCAAAGTAAAAATTTACATTTGCAAACAACCTTTTTTTGCATTAAATATATACCAAACCTCTTAATTGTATAGCATTAAAATAGAAAGTACCCATAATTGGGAGGGACTACTATTTATTATGCAAGTACTTTATTGATAGCTCCACTTGTCAATGACTAGGCTTTAAGGGACGAAGGGAGTGGTCCATGAGTTGGCTCCCACAAGGGTTGCAAAATAGATCCTTGGTTCAGGGGTTCAGATATGTTCCTTAGAGCGATCTGTTGGGAGGTATGAAGTTAGTTTCTAGTCATATTTTAATATTACACCTGACATTTAATTGTCTGATGTATGCTAGGTATTTCCCTCGTGACTTTTCATGGACGCTTTGATCCTTAGAAGTGCTTTGTAAGAACTCTAATAGCTTAGTTTTACTAGATAAAGAAAGTGAAGTTCAGAGAGGTTAAGTAACAAGGTCACATAATTAGTAAGTGGGTAAAACAGGTTTTGGGCCAAGTATTCTGACTCTAGAACTTGTGCTCTTAATGCATACACCATTAATAACACATCAGTAAAAAAAAATCTCATGCTTCCACCCTACTTACTGTTGCTATTTTTGTTGTTAATATTATTGGTATACCTAATTGTATTCATGGGATATATAGAATTCATGGAATTACATTGTTTGCCTTTTAAACTTTTTTTGCTCACTGATAATTTATTGTCAGTGAGTAAAGGTTAAAGATCACGTTAAATTTTTTTTCAAAATACTGCATATGTCTAGAGCGTATATTCTAGTTCTTATCTAAGAATCTTATTCTTTGATAATAAGTACGTTTTATTTATTGACCTTTTTAACAGGAATAGTGAAAATCTACCAGAAGCAGTACAAGGTTATGAAAATGTATTGCAGAAAATTGAAGGTGGTATTTTGTATACGTTTGGCTTTATACGGTTACCTAAATACATTAACATTTTGCGTTGTACAGTTTAAGAGTTTATAGTCATAAAATCATACAACAGTAAATTTAAACTGGTGTTACCAGAGGGAAAGGAGGGTGTGGGGAAGGTAGTAAGAGTAAAGGGGGTCAAATATATGGAGACAGAAGTAGATTGACTTTGGGTGGTAAACACATAATGCAATATACAGATGATGTATCATAGAATTGTACACTTGAAACCTGTAAAATTTTCTTAACCAATGTCATCTCAATTAATTTAATTAAATGATACTTAATAGTGACTTTTTATTTTCAATCAAAGTTCTTATTATATTGCTGATTATGAAAGTTTAAAATGCCTAAAATTTGGTTGTTGCCCCCATAATACCCACAATGTATAAGGGCACAAACACATGATATATCATTTTTCAAATTTAATGCATGATAAATATTTGTGTTGTTCATAGTGAGTCTATAGAAAGGAGCCAATTTGTTCAATTTGATGGCATTAGGAACATTTTATGCAACCTTAAAACATGAGTAGGACTTACTTAATTTAAAAAGGGAGACATTTAAGAAGAATATCAAGCATGAACAAATAGCATACATGGGGAATTAGAATTAGAATGGTATTAGACCATAACATAATAGGTAGGGATATGGTAAGAGAGAACCTAGTCAGAGGCACTAGATGCTATGCTAAGGAACTTTTTAAAATTAAATTATTTATTTATTTATTTATTTATTTATTTATTTATGAATTAGAATTGGGAGTCATCGAAGTTTCCTTTTTGTAGGACAGTGATGTTGTTGTATTTTATTTTGAAGATTACTCCAATCACATTGTAGAAACTAGATTTGGCATCCAGGAGTAGGAAAGTGAAGTTATTGCTATATCTTATACGTGTAGTAAGTGCCTATATTAGAGCACAAGTGAAAGAGAAGGGGCAGACTTGAGAAATATGTATCTTGTAAAATTGGCAAAACTTGGTGACTGTATATGAAAGGAAGAGAGATTAGATGATGGTAAAATTAACTAAGAGAATATGAGAAAAACAAGTTTTGTTAAAAAAATGATGAGTTCACATCCCACAGTTGTTATGTATATTTTTTCAGATCTTACCATTGTTGCTTAATTGGAACAATCTGTATGTTGGCAGCTCTATTGTTTTTCTTAGAATTTTTTCCTCTTGAGTGAGTTATTAAGATAAAAATTATAAAATTTAAACTCAATACATATAGTTGATATTTGAAACTTATAACAAATTCACTATTATTTCAGAATTTATAAAAACCCACTCAGCTGTAGGACTTATAGATATTTCTGCAACTGAACCACGTAAGTTTTCACTCATTTAAGCATTATTATGTTAACCTCTATTGAGAGCATTAATTTATATAATTTAATTTTATTTTTTTAATCAAATACATTTTAAAAAATTTATTTTTAGAGATGAGAAGAGAGGAAGAAAGAGAGAGAGAGAAATATCAATGTGTGGTTGCATTTGCAAGCCCGCTGCCAGGGACCTGGGCAGCAACCCAGGCATGTGCCCTGCACTGGGGATGGAACTGGCGACCTTTTGGTTCGCAGGCTGGAGCTCAATCCACTGAGCCACACCAGCTAGGGCTAATTTTATATACTTTTAAAGTAGTAATTATTAAGTTACAATATAGACCCCCTGAATTTTGGAGTCATACAGTTGAGCTGGCTATCAAGCAAGTACTGAAATTCCTAGTTGAGGCTACACAACTAGGCTACACATGACCAAAAATAGACTCATTTTTGAAGAGGACCATGTTATTCCTTGGAATGGAGGATTTTTAGTTGTGATTAGAATATGCTACTGAAATGTTGCAGGAGTGGCGGGCCTTTAAGATAGGGCAGTAATGAAATTAAGAGATTATTTGTAGATTTTGTTACTACTAATTACAGATCATCTCATAAATACTAATGCTACTGGTAGGCACTCAGCTGTAGTCAAAGCTGCTAGAACTAGCATGTTAAACTTCTGACAAATTGTCAATGGGAAGGAGAAATGTTGCTTATGTCTTAATACTGGAGAGAATTTATAACAATCATGTAATGTATGCTATGGAATACAGTTTAGAAGTGGACAATAGATTTGGTTGGAAAAAATCAATTGGTATCATGTCCTCTTTCAATATCAGCTTTAAGCCCTAATGTTGCCTTGTATAAAACAAGGACAGATATACATTCTATAGTACTCCCATGTTCTATATAGACCTCTGGTCCAAGAGATCCCTGTCTAGTTAGATAGGAAGGTATCAAGGACTTTCGAGTAGATACTTTTCCTACCTTTGGAGTGAAAGCGTCTTTCTACATCAACACCTATGCAAATCTATGGGGCTCGTGCACTCTGAATCTCTGTAGCTGTCTTCTCTCTAGTACTGTGCCCTGTTAATTATAGGTGCCAAAACTCTAAGCTTTGTCACTGAACTCAAGGAGACTCTTTTTGGATTCTTCTTCCTTATGCTGTGCCCTCGAAACTCTAGGCAATATGCTAAGGTGATCATCATAAGGCATTTTTTCTTTGTTTTCCTTCTGTCAAGGATAACTGCCTTGAACTTTCTGTTTTCCAGTGTTTCATTGCTGGTTAATTCATTTTTGTCCAGGTTTTAATTAGTTTAAGGTGAAAGGGTAATTCTGGTCCCTGATGCTTCATCATGGACCCAAAAAAAGGAGTGTGACCCTACCCATATGCCAATAGAACACATCCTCTAACAATATCAACAAAAGTTCCAAAAAATAACATATAATAGTAGAAATTATATGAATCATTTTTAAGGGAAGCACAGGAGAGGGTTACATGGCACATTATGGTGTAAAACTTTTTGCAAGTTCCTATCTTTTCCCATGGCAGCTGCTTCAGTCCCTGAGCTCCATTAGTATGTATCTACTTTCAATACTGTTGTTTTACTTATATTTCTTGTGTTTACAGTGTTTCTTTCCTTCATCAGGTTAGGGAAGTTTTCAAACATAGTTTTTTCAAATAATATTTCAATTTCTTGGTCTCTGTCTTTTCCTTCTGGTACCGCTGTGATGCAGATGTTTTTAAGCTTTGTATTGTCCCTGAGGTTCCTTAGAGTATCCTCATTTATTAAATATTCTTTTTTCCTTATTGCTCTGAGTATGCATTTTTTGCTACATTGCCTTCCAAATCTCTGATTCGCCCCTCTTCTTCGTGTAGACTGCTGTTGATTCCTTCTACTGTAGTCTTCACTTTTGATATCACATTCTTTCTATCTCACTGGTTCTTTTTTTGTGATTTCTATGCCCTTTTTCATGCTGTCGAAGTTCCCACTTAGTTCCTTGAGTATCCTTATAATTAATGTTTTGAACTTTGTATGTGGTAGCTTGCTTATCTCCATTTAGTTCTTCTGTGGATTTTTAAGTTTTTTATTTGGGGCATGTTTCTTTTTCTATTCATTTTGGCTGCCTTTCTGAATTTGTTTCTGTGTGTTAGTTTGTTCTGCTATGGCTTGGCACGGTGGCCTTGTGTAGTATGTGTCTTGTGAGACTCAGAGATACAGTCTTTCTTATTTATTTATTTATTTATTTATTTACTTACTTACTTACTTACCAAATCATGTTTATTCTATTACAGTTTTCTCAATTTTTCCCCCTTTGCCCTCCTCCACCCATCTCACCACCTCCCCCCGCTCCCACAGTCAAGTCCCACTCTGTTGTCCATGTCTATGGGTCATTCATACATGTTCTTTGTCTAGTCCCTTCCCCTTCTTCCCAGCATTGTTCTCCTTCCCCATCACCTCTGGTCACATTCAGTCTGCTCCATGTTTCCATGCCTGTGGTATATTTTGTTCGATAGCTTATTTTGTTGAATAGATTCCACTTATAGGTGAGATCACATGGTATTTGTCTGTCACTGACTGGCTTATTTTGCTTGGTATAATATTCTCCAGTTCCATCCATGTTGTCACAAAAGGTAGGAATTCCATCTTTCCTTTCTTCCTTTTTCTTTCTTTCTTTCTTTCTTTCTTTCTTTCTTTCTTTCTTTCTTTCTCTTTCTTTTTCCTCTCTCTTTTTTAAATGCAGATTGATTTTATTTATTTTTTAATGTCAAAGAAAATTATAAAATATTTAAAAATTTAAAACCATTATAAAGTCTCAGCAATTAAACCAACATGACACCAGCACAGAAATAATCAAGTAGATCAATGAAATAAAATGAGCATTCTATAAACAAAAGTATATATCTGTCTAACAATGTAATATATGATTAAATTGATATTTCAAATCAATGGGTAAAATAAAGCTTATTCAACAAATAAGGTGCATGGACCACTATTACTTGAAATAAAATAAATATAGAGCCCTGTTTCACACATTATACAAAAAATATTCATTTTTGATTTTGATTTTGAGTTAAAAATCAATATGTAAAATCTAAGGAATTTTAGGAGAAAAATACAAACTAATATTTTTCTTACTGTGAAGTAAAATACTTCAGCTCAGAAGCTATAAAGTAAAATATTGATAGTATGACTATATTAAACATTTAAGACTATACAGTAATATACATATAAAGGAAGTTAAAGGACAAGTAATAGAATAGGAAAGTATTTGCAACACATCTAAAAAAGGTTAATAGTTGTATTTTTTAGGGAAAAAATTCTACAAACATTTAGTCAAAAAATAGATAAAGAATACCAAAAAGTCATTTAAAGCTTTTTAAAAATAATAAAAATAGGCAAGAAATATACAAAAACAGATTTAGTTTCAACAAATAATAAAGTGACAATTAAAATAACACATTACCGTCACAATCAGATTAATAGGTATTAAAAATATTGGTAATATCAAGTATTAGCAATTATGAAAGGAACTGGGTATTCATAGACACTTTTTCTTCATCTTAAAGCAGTCCCTTTAACATATTTTGCTGTGCTGGTCTGGTGGAGGTGTATTCTTTTAGCCTTCTTTTGTCTGGGAAACTCCTTATTTTGCCTTCCATTTTAATTGAGAGCCTTGCTGGATAGAGCAGTCTTGATTGCAGGCCTTTGCTCCTCATGACTTGGAATATTTCTTGCCGTTCCCTTATGGCTTCCAGTGTTTCTGTTGAGAAGTCAGCTGCTAGCTGTATTGGGGCTCCCTTATATGTGACTACCTGTTTCTCCCATGCTGCCTTTAGGATTCTCTGTTTGTCCTTGATATTTGCCATTTTAATGATGATGTGTTTTGGAGTGGGCCCCATTGGGTTCCCACTTGAGTGGGACCCTCTGTGCTTCCTAGACTTGTGTGTTTTTTTTCTGTCCTCCTATTAGGGAAGTTTTCCATCATTACTTTTTCCTTTCCTTTCCTTTCTCTATCCTTTCCTCCTCTTCTTCTCCTTCTGGTATCCCTATTATATGGATATTACATTTCAGGTTGTCCTGCATTTCTAATTGCCTGAGCTAGGTGCTCCAGGAATGTTCCCTGTGTGAGTTTTGTGAACACCTGTGTTGTAGTTGAGTCTTGATTTTTGTTGGTGGGCTCCTTGGGTGGGTTTGACCCTCTGTTAGCTGTGAGGATTGATCCTGAGCTCAGTGTGTGAGCTGCTATGCTCGGCTGGCTTCATAAAGCTGGATTCGCCCCAGTTGGTCCTAGTATCTGTCAAGATCTTCTTTTGTGTGCCACTTGTGGAGCTAATTAGGTCATGTGCTGGTGTGGTCTGAACCATTGGTGTGTTGGTTCTGGGGCCCTTGGGAGGGGGTCCAGTGTCAGTTGATGTCAGGCACTACCAGTGGTGGGCATTGGGCTACCTGTTTGGAGCTACAAAGTGAACTGCAGTACGTGTCTGTCTCTGCCTTGCCTGGGTGTTTGTGGGAGTGGTCCAGCTGCTTACCAAGGCAATGTTCACCAGCCTGGCACCTATCATCAGGTTAGAAAAAGGCCCAAGGTTTTCCAAGGTCTGTGTTCATTTGTTAGCTGTCTGTTAGGCTCAGTTATTGAAAGAGCCTATGGCAGTATATGAATCACTGGAGGGAGGTTCTTGGTGAGTTAGTAGGTAGGGTTGAGTGGTGTTCACCAGATTGATACAGATTCAAACTTGGTTCCAGTTGTGAGTTTGAGGCCACTCAGCAATAGTCTCAGGGTACACCAAGGTCAGCTACCACATGCCAGGTGCATGTGGACCTTTGGGCCAGGTCTCAGGGATTCATCAGAGTGAGTCCAGCAGTGTTTATCAGGCCCACACAGGCCAGTGTGTACCCATATGAAAGAAGGGCTTTGCCCAGGAACAGTGGTACTGGTCTGGAGTGTATAGAAACAATGGCTCCCCAAAAGAGCCACACAACTGAGTTTTTCCCCAGACTCTTCCC